TGGTGAAATCCAACAAATCTAGCACCCCAAATGTAGCCCTCAGCCTACTTTGAGTTTATTGTGAAGGACTCTCGCCTAATTGGAGCGTTTCCCTTCTTTTCTTCTTCTTCCTCAACCCTACCCCTCTCTTCCTTTCCCTTTTTCTTTTTTTTTCTCTCTCTCTCTCTCTCTTTTTTTTCCTTTGTTTTTGCATGTGATTAGTCTGAAAAAAATAGTATAACTGGCAGTAGATATTGTTCGTTGGCACACCCGTCTAGTGTCTGGTTTTAATATCATTTATAGTAACTCAAACCCACTACCATCAAATATTGTCTGCTTTGGCACATTACGTACCGTCGTTAGTCTCACGGTTTTAAAATGTGTCTGTTAGGAAGAGGTTTCCACACCTTATAAAAAATGTTTCATTCCCGTATTCAACCGACCTGAGATCTCACATAAAAATACTATTTATTAGACATTAATACAATCTACATAATTAGATTATATGATCTTCACCCTCACGATTGTTCAAATATATAAGTTTTTTTTTTTCTTTTTTTAGTTAAATGATATTCATTTTAGTTATTAAGAAGTTTTTACATTTATAAAGGATTAACTAATAAAAAGAACATAAATCTAAAAAAGTCACTTGCACGCAACGTCTCACAATCGCCTTTTCTTGGCAGCAGATTTGGTGATTGTGCGGCACTCATTCTCAGCACTGAGTGAATCAAGCCAACTTCAGATCACGTTGCCTACAGTTGGGCAACGTATATTCAAGCCTCGGATCCTGATTTAAAAATAGGATTTTAGAAAACGGGAAAGAGAGGTTTTGGAAAAAGAGTTTTGAAAGCAAGAATGAGAGAGAGATATTGAGAGTAGTGTTATATAGCATGCAAGCAAAAATACAACAACGGTTTAAATAGTATATAACTTTTCAGGTATGCAGAATTTTACAACTAGTCATATCTCCCTACCGTTCATTTTGAGGCATCATGTTTACCACGAGTAGCCATGATTTCGTCAAAACGTCATACTCTTAAAAAAAACAAGAAGGAAATAATACAACATGAAAGCAGTAAAAGATAGCGGCAAAATAGTACAAGGCAAGGGTTTCGACGTGTAAGGGGCATGCGGTCATAGGCAACATGCAAGACCGTGACACAACGCATAGATTAAAAGTCTAATTTATAACATGACCTTTAATATTAATAATACATAATCAATGGATAAAATAATGCTATGAAAGATTCTCTATGAAAATTCTCTAGTTGAATTTCTTATTTTCTTAGACTTTTTCAAAGTCTAGTCTAGATTTTAAATATTCTAAAGTAGAACATATTAATTACAATTCAATTGATTATGCAACCAATATGAACATAATTCTAAAAATATACTTGCCTGCAAAACATGATTTGGAAGATTAATTTATAATATGATTTTTAATATTAATTATACATAATCCATATAATATTCAAAAATGGATAGAATAATGTTTAGAAAAATTATTTCTCGTTGATTTTTCATTTTCATGATCTTTTCAAAGTCTCTTGCATCTATTCTTTATATGGGAGAGAAATGTTTAGAATTAAACCATGGTTTGAAATTTAGAATTAAAAATAAACATTAAACAATGGTTGTAGTTAGTTAGTTAATTAATTAATTAATTTTTGAAAAAATGTTCATCACAATAATTCTCAACCAACCAACCAATCTTACTCGAAATAGATGGGGAGTTGTCACCTTAAGCTACGTGACATTTCTCTTGTTTGATCATATTAATTTTGTTGCAATTACATAGAGTTTAATTAAAAATTAATCATCAATATGAGTTTGGGAATCTATGTTTTCGATAAAAAAAATATTAAGTGTATAAAAAAAATATTATCTATCTGTTTACCTCAATCCATGAAGCTAGTATTTGATAAGTTATAAAAAAAATCAGCTATAAGTCAAGAAGGAGATATGTGACTTCGCTCGATTCCTTGGGCACGTCATCAAGTGTTGAGAAATCAAAATGGATAGCGATAAGATTAATGCTATCCAGGATTGGAGAGTCCCCACTTTAGTGACCAAACGATCCTTTTTGGGATTAGCAAACTACTATAGGTAGTTCGTTGAAGGGTTTTCACGATAATCTGCCCAATTCATAGACCTTTTAAACAAAAACAAATCTTAGTTGTGATCAAACAAGTGTCAAAAGGTCTTCAAAGATCTAAAGGAAACCATGACGAGGGGCCTTGTTCTTGGTTTGGTAGACGTCTCTAAGCCTTTCGAAGTATTGATGGATGCATCTGACTTTGTCCTTGGGGATGTCCTTTTTGAGGAACGCTACTGTATCGCCTATGAAAGCAAGAAGCTCAATAATGTGGAAAGGAAATACACTTTCTCTGGAGGCAATATATCTTGGGATCCAACTTCGTAGTGAGGATAGACAACAGTGCCATTTGCCTCTTCTTCGATTAATCGAAGTTGACGCCATAGCAAGCTCGGTAGCAAGAATTATTAAATGAGTTCGACTTCAAGTTTGAACATAAAATAGGAAAGAGTAACCAAGCGGCCGACGCGTTGAGTCGAAAGGGCGAACATGTGGCCCGAAGAATGCTAGCCCACATTTAGTCAAGTAAGATTAGTGGTTCGATACGCAACATCATGAGGGAACACCTATAACAAAGCTATTGTTGATCCTAGCCAACAAGGTTAGAAAAGTTAGAGACTTGTACACATTAGAAAAGTTAGAAGACTTGTACGGAGCATTCGAGAATTCCAAGTCCAAGACCTAGGATGTAGAAGATCATAACATCAGTGATTCGGCAGATTTGGAATGAAAAAATCTCCAAATAGATGAAATTAGTTGGGAACGCACCAAAGATCTGAACTCTGCCGCGATCCACATTGAAGATTTCAAACATAGACGGTTGACAAGGACGTCAACTATTTAGGTGGGGGAGGATGTCATTGTCAGGCTTGTTTAGGACGTGTTGCACATAGCCGCATGCCCATGACATGCCAAACCCTTTATCTTCTTTTATGTTGTATTGCTTTACTATTGTATTTTTTTGTTTGTATTATCGTCCGACGAAATCATGTCAAGGCTTGTCAGACCTAAATCGCCTTAAAATGTACTCTAGGGGTGTTAGGTAGTCAACAAACCTCTCATCGAATCTTACGGCAAACGAATTTTCCTTGGTTTTTCCTCTGTTGACCCATGTCGCATGCGAGCCAAATAAGGTCATCAGATGCGGGTGTGACTTGTGGGTCGATCAAGCGAGTTGGGTAAGCGGTTCAGGTTGGCTTGCGGGTTGGACTTCTATGCATCATCTCTACGTCTAGCTGCATTGCTGATCACTTGTGGATGTATATAATAAAATGATGTAAAATTCACAAGAATAAGTGCAAGTATACACTATCACAAGTAGCAAGTAGAGTAACCAGTAATAAGTAAATTATCGATTCCACAGGGAACCTATCTTTTTGGTTAATTTTATTGCTGGAAATCAAGTGAGTTTTTTTTTTCTAACATTCAAATGGGTGTTGGTGATTTTAACTACTTAAACAAAACTAAAACAGAGCGTCATGCTGTCGAAAAACAAAAAATGATAAGAAAATCAACTATAATGAGGAAGGTTAGGCTAAGAGAGATTAAATAAATAAGTTGTTGAGTTTTGTGGTAGATTTTAGTTCCTTTTAATAGATTCTCAAGCCCACTTTCGAGGGTCATAAATGGTGATTATTTCCATAATCGTTCTAATTTCTATTAACAAGGCTTTAGGAGAAAGAATTATTCATAACCCTCCTACTACCCTTCAATCTCCTTGCTATGAAACTAGAGTATTAAGGAAGATTTCATTGCTCCCTCTCTTCTCCCGAATAAGAGAACAACTATGTATGTAAAGTAGCTAATTAAACACACACGTAAATCATTAACAACAACTCTTAAATAAACTAAAATCATATACCGTCAACATACTTAAACTATATAAAACTCTCTCGTCTCCCCTATAAAGTTTAGCTCTCCATACAAACTGAATTAAACAGAGGAATCCGCATCTTCATCATGTAAAATTGATGGAATAAGAAAAGAGAATAAGAAAATAGAGAGTTATCCCGGTTTGTTCCCATTTGTCAATGGAAGTTCCCTTCTCTTGAGCTCTCACGTCCACCTCTTTGCCCTAATCAATCCTTGTTGGTCTCATTTTCCTTCTGCTATCAACAGCTGCTGGATCAGGGTTTTCTTCTTCTTCTCTGGTTTCACATCAATTCACTGCAGTGCAGCAGAGGCTGCTGCGGTGTAATTCGATTTTTCTCCTCTTCCTTTTCCTTTTATATTGAGCATGGGTTCCCCTTTAGGGCTGAAAAAGAATAAGTTGTCCACATAGGATGTTTTTCATGGGGTAATCAATGACCCACTTGGACGGCTGACGTGGATTTAAAATTTTCATGTCATCCCCCATTTATTTACATATTTGCTACTCCCTCATGGTTCAGCATAAATGTCTGGAATTTTACTACATAACTCAATTAAATATACAATTAAGATCGATTTATGCCAAATCATATTTTTTTTCATGTTGGACTGCAATAAACGATTTCATGCTCATTAACTAGAATAAATGGGGTAAATAATGAGAAAATTGTGAATAAGAGTGTCATATTAAATACAAAAGAACTTGATATGACTCTACCTTTAGAGAGTTATCAATTGCTCCACTTGCAGTGCACCACGTATCAACTTGTGTGCCAGTCCGGAATCTCCATGTATTGAGCGACATGCGTCCTACCTTGTTTTGCCAGTGCAACCACAGTTTCCATATTCCGTTGAGTTTTCCTTTTTTTTTTTTTTATATATATATATATATATATATATAGTTTTATAACTTTTCCTAAAAAAATCTATCAATATTTGATTTCTTCAAGTTAGAGTTATATTCCATCTACCTGAGCTATTTTTTTTTTTAAATTTTAATCAAATATATGCAAAGTTATTCCAGGTCAAAGTTGCCTAAAATCAACTTTCTTACCGTTCTTTGAGGTTTCCCGGAACTCCTACTCCAATTTGATTGGACTTGAATTCCTTCACAAAAACCGTGCAAAATTACTCCAAGATAAACATACTAAAACAAGGGAGACAAATTCTTTAATATGTACATGAATTTTGACGAGAATCTAGACCTAAAAATCGATATAACTCTTTTTTTTTTTTCTCGGTTCTTGACGAAATCGAACAAATCTAGCACCCGAATGTAGCTCTTCTGCATACGGAGAGTTTCTTGTGGAGGACTCTTAATCAAGTCAGCCTCCTCTCGCCCAATTGGAGCGTTTCCCTTTTTATTTCTTCTTCCTCTCAAACCCTAGCCCTCTTTTCTTTCTTTTTGGCCTCCTCAGACCCTACAAAAAAGTATGGCTCATAGCAAATATTGTCCGCTAGCACACGGGCGAGTGTCTGGCTCTAATACCATTTATAATAGCTCAAACCCACTGGCAGTAGATATTGTCCACTTTGACGCGTAACGTATCGCCGTCAGCCTCATGGTTTTAAAATATATCTGTTAGGGAGAGGTTTCCACACCCTTATAAAGAAGGTTTCATTTCCCTATTCAACCGAAGTGAGATCTCACATAAAAATACTATTTATTAGGCATTTATACAATCTTCATCATTGATTGTTTGATCCTCACCCCCACAATTGTTTGAATTAAAAACGTTATTGCTTTCTAAAAGTAGAAAGCGAAGAAAGAAAGATTCCCATCCTTCACTTATTTTGCCAATGCAAAGATTCCTACTCTCTTTCAAATATATAAGTTTTTTTTTTTTCGTTTTTTAGTTAAATCATATTCATGGTAGTTATTAAGAAGTTTCACTTATATGTTTTTACATTTCTAAAGGATCTAACTAATAAAAAGAACATAAATCTAAAAAAACCACTTGCACCCAACCTATCACAATCGCCATTTCTTGGTAGTAGATTTGGGGATTGTGCGACACTCACTCTTAGCACTGAGTGAATCAAGGCAACTTCAGATCACGTTGCCTATAGTTGGGCAACATATATACAAGTTGGGTCCTGATTTAAAAAGAAGATTTTAGAACATGGGTGAGAGGTTTTGGAAAAATAGTTTTCAAAGCAAGAATGAGAGAGAGATTGAGAGTGGTGTTATATAGCATGCAAGCAAAAAGACAACAACAACGGTTTAAACAGTATAAAACTTTTGAGGTATGCAGAATTTGACAACTAATCATATCCCCTAATACATTTTGAGGTATTTCATGTCTACTAGGCGTAGCCATGATTTCGCCGAAACGTCATACTCTTAAAGAAAATAAGAAAGAAATAATACAACATGAAAGCAGTAAAAGAAAACGGTAAAGTAGTACAAGGCAAGGATTTTGGCGTGTAACGGGTATGCAGCCATGGGTAACATGTTTTGGACAAGCATGTCCATGACACAACGCGTGAATTGAAAGTCTAATTTATAACATGACATTTAATATTAATAATACATCATCCATGTTCTACACAATAGACCTTTTCAAAGTCTAGTCTAGATTTTAAATATTCGAAAGTAGAACATTTAATTACAATTCAATTGATTATCTAACCAATATGAAAATAATTCTAAAAATATACTTGCATGCAGAACGTGATTTGGAAGATTAATTTATAATATGATATTTAATATTAATTATACATAACCCATATAATACTCAAAATGGATAGAATAATGTTTAGAAAAATGATTTCTTGTTGATTTTTCATTTTCATGATCTTTTCAAAGTCTCTTATATGTATTGTTTATTGGGAGAGGAAACGTTTAGAATTAAACCATGGTTGAAATTTAGAATTAAAAATAAATATTAAACCATGGTTGTAGTTAGATAGTTAATTAATTAATTAATTTTAAAAAAATGGATTTCGTCACAATAATTTAACGTGACATCTTTTTCTTCCGTAATCATATTAATTTTGTTGTAATTACTTAGATTTTAATTAAAAATTAAATATCAAGAATTTTTCGGAGATTCGGAATATATATTTTGGATAAAAAATTAAGTGTATAAAAAACGTTATGTATCTGTTTACCCCAATCCATGAAGCTAGTATTTGATGAGTTATGGAAACAAAAAGCTGTATGTCAAGAAGGAGAGATATGACTTTGCACGAACATGCATCATCTTCCTCGAGCACGTCATTAGGTGTGGAGAAATCAAAATGGATAGCTATAAGATAAATGCAATCCACTATTTGAGAGTCCCCACTTCAATGACTAAACTATTCTTTTTGGGATTAGCAAACTACTATAGGTAGTTCGTTGAAGGGTTTTGAGGATAATCTGCCCCATTAAACAAAAACCAATCTTGGTGTGGTCAAACGAGGAAATGGCTAATCTAAGTTCGTTGTCTTCTCCATTTGCCTCCATTATTGATTCTCTAACTTACTCCTAAATGGAGTTTTCACATAAAATTTATAAGCCAAAATTTAAAAAAAAAATACTATATTTTATTTATTTTTAATGGATGGTCAGACTTCCAACTAAGCTAGGGTCGACCTTTTGAATTTTTAAAATAGTCCAATTATTACTTTCACGGGAGAGTGACACCCAAGTGTCACCATCCTAATTTAAGTGGATGGGAAGCAAACCCAGGAAGCTTGTTTGCTCAATTATGAATAGAAATATATATCATTATTTATTTCACTTAATTTTATTGGGATAATGCCTCTCTTCGTTTGATTAAGTTAAATTATATTAGATACTTGTTAAATATAGGGATAGAACAGTTTCATTTTTACCATTAAATTTATTTTAAAATAGTTGTTCTGTCCAACTTTTGGTTATAATTAAAAGGGAAAAGTGATGTTATATAGTAAGTATAATTAAAAAGGAAAAGTGATGTTTTATAGTAAGTATTTATATATAATAGGAGTTTTATATGTTAAAGTCCTATTAGTAAACTAAAACCATGTATATAGCCTTTGGGTAGTGCTTTCATAATGTACTTATCTAAAGTCATCGATATAAATTCTTTAGCTAATATTTCTTCTGAATTTTCTCTTTCCTATTTGTTTGTGTTCATCTTGATCAAGTGTGTGGGTTGTTGTGCAAACCTAACAACTGACATCAGAGCTAGGCGAAATTCACCACGATCAGAGCTAGGCATTGTTGTGCGTTGTTGTAGATGCCTTCTTTCTTTTCACAAAAGAACTCTAGACATTCTTTTAACATATCTGATGCAATAGACTCTAGAATAACAACAGGAGAGAAAATCTACTTCTTAGCTGCCTTCTCCTATTAAGTTCAACTTTTTACCATAAGTTCTATTTCACAGATATGTATCTTCTTATCTATACATAATTTTCCTTTTGTAATGAGTTTAATTCATCAAGAACATCTACAAATCCTTGGATTTGATGACTTCAACTTACTATGTCATTGTCATCATCCCTAGTAACTATTTTGGTCACAATTAGGATTTCAATAGGATTGAGTCATCTCATTACTTTTCTACTAAATATATTCACCCTCTTTGAATTTGTTTCAACATATTATGCTTAACAATTCCAATTATTGAAGTGTTCGTAAACTAAGTTTATTATGCTGAAGGGAGTCATATTCCTCCTGCAATCTCTATTGCGTATCTTAACCAAAGTCCGATAATGACATATATGAATATAGTCTTGCTTTCTCCTCCTACATCACAATTTTACAAAATAGTACTCATGCTTAGAGCTGGATTTCAATTCCACTTTCTGTCCACTAATTTTAATACACAAGGTTCTTAAACTTTATGATTTGCCGTTAATGACATATAACATTATGATTTGCCCATAATGTCTTGATAGATTCACCTAAATGGAATTCAACTTTAGTCTTATATTTCTTGAACTTTTAGACTAAGTTGCCTTCGATAAAAATACTTATATATTGAATAATCATCAATCAGGTTAATAAAATCTTCACAATATTCTACGTCTTTTGCATTCATTAGATCGCTTGAGTCAGAATGTATAAGCCCAAAGTGGTCTTTGGTCTTGTAGCCTTATATAATAAAAGTCTAATGACTATCTTGTATGAAAAAACAAGATCTATAAACATGTTTTAAGAATTTCCTTTTACTCGTCTGTTAATCAAATTAGTTGTCAAATTTATAATCTAATAAATATTATCGTTCTCTTAAACATATTTTTAAATAATTTTAAAAATATAAACTTTAATGCTAGAAAGTAATTCATACTATATGTATGAACAACTTACTTAGTAATAAAGATTGGAAAATTGAATTTCTCTTATTGTTACTAAAAACACCCTATTCAACATTAAATAACTATTTTTATTTGCTGACATCTTAACGTCTCCTACTACATCAACTGTCATTGATTTCCTAATGCCAACATATAGAATCTGTTCTATATCATCAAATATTTTCAAGAATTACATATCAAAACTGATGAAGAACAAATCTTGATAGTAGATCTTATATCAACTATCTAGGTAGTGTCATTTATTCTCTACCAAAAATCGAGTAAATCAAATTTACTTTTTTTTATATTTTTTTTCATAGTGTCATTTAAAAAAAAATTCTAAATATCCTAACAAATTAGTAATTATTTTCTATCATAGCTTGGGTCATAATTTTTTTTAAATTTTGTAACACTTAATTTTGGATCATTTAGATAACTATCTAAATTTAGGTTTTATTAATTTAAACATCTCATATATTTCTGTCATTTTCTTATCTTAGTCTTGATATCCAATATGTTAACTAAAAGATATAAAGAAAGATTTTTCGTTACCTTTTAATCATCACTTATGTGCTCTTCAAACAAAGATATGAACGAAGTTATGTTTTCCTTACTGTAAATACATACAACACCACAAATAATCCATATCCAAAATACAAGATGAAACACACAACATAACCTAATTTTTGTGTAGCCCTCGATCTTTATTGAGTTATGGTTGAAGTCATTGCATCTCTCTCAAAGTCAACGATTTGACCTTTTTGCAGCCCAAGCGAAAAGCTTCACCACCAAAATAAGGAAGGGAATTATAATGCAACAAATAAAAACCACTCCCCCTTTACTAACCAAATGTACCATGCTATTACAAATGTTATTCTTAAAGTAGGAGAATGGCTAAATGAGACATTTAGCAGTCCAACAGCCATTAAGTAACTATATGATAAGGATGCAATGGCAATGTTAACCATCAACAAATCCTATTTTTCAAAGGCAATCGACCTATAATGAACATAATCACACATATTGATGCATAGAATGAGATAGAATTTGTAATCAAGTAAGCAACGTAATAATATTCTTGGCCTGAAGCTGGGTAAGCCATTATTGCCGTTCCTGCTATGAAAGTTTTTAAAGTATTGTTACAATGTAACGAACGATGAATACTGCTGTTGGAGTTGTAAGAAATGTCTTGTTGCCAAACACCTCCAGGAGGGTTGATTGCACCTTGAAAAGCCACGGTTGCAATCACTGTTGTCATCAACATCATTGTGCCTTGCACTTCTTGAAGCCAATCACCTATGTATTCAAGATTCTTCGTCCACAAGCTTCTCAAGAGCTTTTTGAGTGTTGTTGATGTTGATGACCCTTTATTGCATTTTACTTCAATTCTACTTGGCGATTCCTTCTCATTTGAGGCATCGGAGTTGTTTACAATGTTTGTTCCAGTTTTTATTCCCGGGATAGACAATAAATATTGTATTATCTGCACAATTTGAATTCAATTTTTTTTTTATATCAAGATAGTGTGAAGGATTGTTGGGAGGGAGCCCAACATTGACTAATTTAGGGTTTATGATTAAGGAATACATCTCCATTAGTATGAGGCCTTTTAGGGAAGCCCAAAGAAAGCCACTAGAGCTTATGCTCAAAGTGGACAATATCATATCATTATGGAGATCCATGATTCCTAACATGGTATCGGAGCCATGCCCTTAACCTAGTCATGTTAATAGAATCCTCAAATGTCAAACAAAAGAAGTTGGGACCCTCGAAGGTGTAGTCAAAAGTGACTCAAGTTTCGAACAAATAGTGTACTTTGTTCGAGGGTTCTATAGGCCTTAAGGGAAGCTCTATACTGTACTTCGTTCGATAGGAAGATGGAGACCTATTTGATACCTATTTAAGCTCCGAAATAATAAATTTTAGTTTTTTTTAAATAATCAAATAAGAATTTAGTTTTTCTTCAACTAGCTATAATTCAATTATAATAACATACCTCAGTTCGTCTTAACATCATAGACAAATCCAAAATGGTATTTTCATTCTCATCGCCTTGGTTGAGGAACCCATAATTTTGTGGATCTTCAATCATTGTGATCAACAACTCAAGTGCTTCCAAATGGTTGTGTTTTATGTTAGGATCGCACAACAACGTACACGCTCGATCTAGATGAACACAAAGAAAAAAGATAGAGAGAAGTTGCAAGGAGAACTCTGGCTAAAAGGATTTTGTATTGATAACTTCAGGTATGTACAACAAGAGAGAGTACAGAGAATAGAAAGTACATTTCAAAGCTTTACTGGATGGGATATATATATGGTTCAGTCTACTAAATATAGCTTTACCAGATTTAGCCATCTACTATATATAGCTATGTGCCATATATAGCTTTACCGGATATAGCTTTACCATATATGGCTTTACCAAATATAGCTTTACCGGATATAGCCGTTGACCAAGCTATAAATACAGGGAGTAGACTCCATAACTCAACAATTCTCCCACTTGGAGACTGATCCTACACCATACCAATTAGGGCTTTGCATAGCCTTAATTTTCCAACATCAACACATTTTGTCAACATCTCTGCTGGATTCTTTGCACTCTCTATCTTCTCCAAACACATATCGCCTTCTTCCACTAACCTGCGAGTGAAATGGTACCGTCTTCTAATGTGTTTTGTCCTTGAATGATAGACTGGGTTTTTCAACAACTGTATGGCACTCTGACTATCTGTATAAAGGATCTTCTTGCACTGCTTCCGGCCTAATTCTTCTAGATAGTTTGTCATCCATATCATCTCCTTTCCAGTTTCAGCTATGGCCACGTACTCAGCTTCAGTAGATGAAAGAGCAACGCATTTCTGAAGCTTTGACATCCAACTCACTGCTGTTCCATCTATAGTGTAGATATACCCAGATGTGCTCTTGCTGGAGTCTACATCTCCACTCAGATCAGCATCCACAAAACCTTGCAGAACTACTTTGCCATTGCCATAACAAAGTGTAGTATTGGATGTACCTCTCAGATATCTCAGAAGCCACTTCACAGCTTCCCAATGTTGCTTCCCTGGATTTGCCATGTACTTGCTAACAACTCCCACTGCATGTGTTATGTCAGGTCTAGTGCAGACCATAGCATACATCAAACTCCCAACTGCAGAAGCGTACGGAACTGATTCCATGTGCTCACTTCCTCAACTGTCTTGGAAGATTGCCTCTTTGACAATTTAATATGATTTGCCAAGGGGGTAGTCCTGGGTTTAGCGTTATTCATCTTGAATTTGGACAACACCTTCTCAATGTACTGCTCTTGGGATAGATTTAATGCCAACAGATCTATCTCGAGAAATCCTCATCCCAAGGATCTGCTTCGCTGCACCTAAATCTTTCATCTCGAATATTGAAGACAAACTTGCCTTTAGGTGGTTTATCTCCCTCATACTTGATCCAACAATTAGTATATCATCCACATACAGGAGTAGAAACACATAAGAATCAGTGTATTTCTTGAGGTAGCAACACTGATCCTTTTCACTTCTGTGGAAACCACTCTTGCTCATGAAGGTGTCAAACTTCTTGTACCATTGTCTCGGTGCTTGTTTCAGTCCATACAAGCTCTTATTGAGCTTACACACCATGTGCTCCTTGCCTGGAGCTGCAAATCCTTCGGGTTGTTGCATATAGATCTCCTCATCTAGATCTCCATGTAAAAATGCTGTTTTTACATCCATTTGCTCAAGGTGCAAATTCTCTGATGCAACAATACTCAGTACAATTCGGATAGTAGTTAATTTCACAACTGGAGAAAAGATCTCAGCATAATCAATGTCTTTTCTTTGTGAATATCCTTTAACTACTAACCGAGCCTTAAACCTCCTTCTGCCATCTGGTTCAACCTTGATTTTGAACACCCATTTGTTTAACAGAGCTCTCTTTCCTGTGGGCAACTCAGTCAGCACCCACGTATTATTCCTTTCAAGTGAGCTCATTTCATCATCCATGGCTTGCTCCCACTTGGTTGAATCTTCCACTTGTAGGGCCTCATCAAAGGACTCTGGTTCTCCTTCGTCAGTCAGCAACAGATAATGTAATGAGGTTGAATATCTATCTGGTGCTCTGGTAGTTCTGGATGATCTTCTCAACACCTGCTCAGGTGCAACTTGCTCCACGTCTGATTCTTCAGCAATAGAATCAGGAGTTTCTTGAGCTTCTGTTGTATCATCACTGTCTGAATTTTCTTGCCACTCAAGTTCAACTCCCACTTGCTTCGTAGTCTCAGAGTTTATCTTCTCTCTGTCCTTGTACATGACATTTTCATCAAAGGTCACATCACAGTGTCTTAGGATCTTCATATTTTTCTCATCCCAAAACCTGTACCCAAACATGTCAGAGCCATAGCCTATGAAGTAGCATTTCACGGCCTTAGCATCAAGCTTATCTCTCTTCTCTGGATCAACATGGACATACGCAGTACAACCAAAGGTTCTCAAGTGAGAGTACTTGAGTTCTTTTCCTGTCCATACTTCTTCGGCAATTTGAACTTCAAGGGTACTGACGGCCCTCTATTAATCAAATATGCTGCTGTGTTCACAACATCAGCCCAGAATGTCTTTGGCAATCCAGAATGAATCCTCATGCTTCTTGCTCGCTCATTCAATGTTCTGTTCATCCTTTCTGCAATACCATTTTGTCTTGCCTTACCGGGAATTGTTCTTATTAATCTAATTCCCTCAGCTGCACAAAATTTTATAAACTCTGATTTGTTGTACTCTCCTCCATTGTCAGACCTCAGGCATTTGATCTTCAAGCCGGTCTGATTTTCAACTTCAGCTTTCCACTTCTTGAAGGTGGTAAACACATCTGACTTGTGTTTCAGAAAGTAAACCCATATCTTCCTGCTGAAGTCATCGATGAAGATGACGTAGTACCTTGATCCACCAAGTGATGAAACTGGAGATGGTCCCCAGACGTCTGTATGGACCATTTCCAACCGCACCTTCTTCGGTTCTCTGGCAGCCTTTGTGAAACTAACTCGTTTCTGTTTGCCCATAACGCAGCTCTCACAAAGACCCATATCAACAGATTTTAAGCCTTCTAAAGCTCCTTTCGCAGTCAGCATCTTCATTCCTTTGACGCTCATATGTCCAAGTCTATTGTGCCATAGACTTGAATTGGAAGCACTCTCAATAGCAGCAGTCATGTTTATACACTCTGCAGTAGTGTAAAAGGTTCCGGATTTTGTGCCACGCGCAACAACCATGGCGCCCTTCACAATCTTCCAGGAACTCTTTCCAAACTCTGCTGCATAGCCTGTGTTATCCAACTGACCAATAGAGATCAGGTTCTTCTTGAGACCTGGAATGTATCTGACATCTTGTAATGTCCATTGATTTCCTGCTGGAGTTTGTATGGAGACATCTCCCTTTCCTTCAATCTCCAAGGTTTTCTTGTCGGCAAGATACACCTTCCCGAAATTTCCTGATTTGAAATTTCAAAACAATTCCTTACTTGGAGACGAATGGAACGATGCACCTGAATCCAAAATCCAGGATTCAGCTGGGCTATCCACACTAAGGATTAAAACGTCCTCAGCATCTTCTGTTGTGTATATAGAATCATCATCTTCAGATTTATGATTCTGCTTCTTCTTTAATTTTGTACAATCTGTCCGAAAGTGTCCTTTTCTCCCACAGCTCCAACACGTTACATTGGGTTTGTTTGGAGATTTTTCCCGGTTCTTTGATTTTGAATGCCCATGTTTGTTTGAGCTCTTTGATTTGCTTCTTCCCCTTCGATCAACACTGAGAGCATTGCCTGATGAATCTCAGTTTCCCGTTTGCGAATACTTTCGCTGAGAACTACATCTCGAATTTCATCAAACTTCAGTTTATCAGATCCTCGGGAACTGCTGATTGCGGCAACAACAATATCCCATGACTCGGGTAAGGATGACATCAAAATCAACGCTTTAATTTCATCTTCGAAATTAATTTCCACCGAACCCAGTTGACTTATGATCATATTGAATTCATTTATATGATCCGCAACACGTCCACCTTCAGACATCTGTAGATTGAACAATCTACGCATCAAATACACCTTGTTCATAGCCGACGGTTTTTCATACATATTTGACAGTGTCTTCATCAGATCTGACGTTGTCTTCTCCTTGATGATGTTAAACGCCACGTTTCTGGATAGCGTCAACCGGATCATCCCTAAGGCTTGTCGATCCTTGAGCTTCTACTGTTCCGTTGTCATGGTATCCGGCTTCACCCCCAACAGAGGTTCGTGAAGATCTTTCTGGTACAGATAATCATCAATCTGCATCTTCCAGAAACCGAAATCGGATCCATCGAACTTCTCAATTCCAATCTTTGAACTTTCCATCTTCACAGATCGTGGTGAATTTTGCCTACTCTGATACCAGTTGTTAGGATCGCACAACAACGCACACGCTCGATCTAGATGAACACAAAGAAAAAAGATAGAGAGAAGTTGCAAGGAGAACTCTGGCTAAAAGGATTTTGTATTGATGACTTCAGGTATGTACAACAAGAGAAAGTACAGAGAATAGAAAGTACATTTCAAAGCTTTACTGGATGGGATATATATATGGTTCAGTCTACTAAATATAGCTTTACTAGATTTAGCCATCTACTATATATAGCTATGTGCCATATATAGCTTTACCGGATATAGCTTTACCATATATGGCTTTACCAAATATAGCTTTACCGGATATAGCCGTTGACCAAGCTATAAATACAGGGAGCAGACTCCATAACTCAACATTTTATGCATAAGTGAAGAATAGTTTGACCATTGTGAAGCTTAACCCAAGGAGATCTTGGCCTCGCAATGATCAACCGTTGCATTATATCAATTCTTCTATTTATCACTGCATGGTGGAGAGGAATCAACCCATTCAAATCACGAACCATGCAAGTGCTTGTGTTCTTCTCCAGCAAAGCTTGAACAATCTCAACCGTTCCATTTTTAAAAGCTTAGTGGAGAGGTGTCCTTTGCAAGTCATCAACTTCTCCCGCAAGTTCAGGCACGATATTCAAAAGAAATCGAGTGAATTCA